GCAGTGAATAATTATATATTGTATATTACAGTCGAGATGTCAAAAGCAAAACGGTCCAAAGTGTGGTTGCACTTTACAAAATATGATGCAGAAACTTCCATCTACAACAAATGCTTTAAGAATATTTGGTGCAAAGACAAATTATTAATGGTTTAATAATGGTTTAAAGTACCGATTTAAATACCTTTTAGGAACCAGTATCGTTTTGAAAGTATCGATTTGGCACCGGTATCGAAATAAACCCTTTCAATACCCAACCCTAACACCTAGTCAATTTCCTTTCCCTAAATGGACACCTGCCTCAGATTAGATCTGCTCATTAGTCTGCAGTTAAAATCACCTGCAGTCATGACACCTTGGAGGGCTGCTGGACAACGTGGAGTGGCACGAACCATGGCTCCAACAAGAGAAATGTCTCTTGAGACAAAAGAGAGGATTGTGAAACTTCTTGAAGAAAGTAACTCTTCACGCATGGTTACTAAAGATGTGGGCTGTTCACAGTTAGCTGTATCCAAGATATGGACCAAAAACAAACAGCYTGYAATGACTGTTAAAGCCAAGTGTGCTAGTAGACCAAGAAAGACATCAAAGCATCTAGACAAACAACTTAAGGCCACTTAAGGCCTTGAAAACCGAAAAACTACAACTTAACAGATGAAGCATAAATGGGAGGAAGCTGGAGCCAATGTTGTCACTGAACCGTAAGAAATTGCCTAAAGGAAATGGGATTTCAATACAGAAAAGCTAAAAGAAAACCATCATTGACACCTAAARAAAAAAGAACAAGACTGCAATGGGCTAAGGAGAGGCAATCATGGACTGTGGATGATTGGATGAAAGTTATCTCCAGTGATGGGTCAAGAATCTGCGTTGGACAAGGTGATGATGCTGGAACTTTAGTTTGGTGCCGTTCCAGTGAGATTTATGAAGAGGACTGCCTGAAGACAACAACCAAATTTCCATAGTCCTTGATGATATGGGGCTGCATGTCAAGCAAAGGCACTGGGGAGATGACTGTGGTTAATTTTTCTATCAATGAACAAGTTTACATTGACATTTTGGACAGTTTTCTCATCCCTTGAATTGAAAAGATGTTTGGAAGTGATGAAATAATTTTACAAGATGCCAATGCATCGTGCCATAGGGCAAAAACAGTGAAGGCATTCCTTTGATAAAGACACATTCAGTCAATGTCATGGCCTGCACATAGTCCAGATCTCAACCCAACTGAAAACCTGTGGTGGAAATTGAAAAAAATGGTCCACGAGAAGGCTCCGACCTGCAAAGCTGATCTGGCAACTGCTTTCAAAGAGAGTTGGCACCAAATTGATGATGAAGAAGAATACTGTTTGTCAGTCATCAAGTCCTAGCCTGGCCCTTTGCCTTCCTACGCAGCTCCYCTCAATTCTAGTTTCCCTTCACTGCTCTGTCTAGGATTTCTCCCACAGACAAGAATTTCGCTGGCAGATTTGTAGCCAAACCAATCAGAAAACAGAAAGTCGATTTTCTGTGCAGTGTCTACTTGTAGTTTATTTTACCTGGGCCAATCAGCAAACAGAAGGCAGAGTTTTGAACAATGTCGATTTTCTGCACAGTGTTTGCTAGTTAGTTTAGCATACGGCAGTGGAAGAAGTGAATGAAGCCAGTCCGTGTTGATYAGGCTTCCAAATTAAATTAAATTTGTCTGACAAAGCAGCAGCTCTCATTGCAGTCATCTCGTTTGGCTCGGTACTTTTCTCCTCTCAGTAGGATTGTTTACAGCTCACGCAATTTCCGGTTAGGTTTCCAGCTTAGRCTCCTTCACAGCAACATACACACACACATACACTTCAGCAGAGGCCACGCCTCCAGCAAGAATCGCTTCTCTATAGCCCCAAGTCCAGACCCTCGTGTGAAGTAAAGTGAAGGACAAAGGGTCTGGTTTTTACCAGGCTAATCAAGTCCATGCCTCAGAGACTGCAAGCCGTTATAAAAGCCCAAAGTGGTACAACTAAATTCTAGTGATGTATTTTGAATGGTCTTTTGTTTATCTGTCTTGCATGATTCCGTATTTTTTTCCCTGTGCTTGGTCAATAAAAGTAACATTCACTGACTTCCACAATGTTTTCTCTTCATTTCTTTGTGTTCCTGAAAGCCAACAAGTTGCACTTTGGAATGACCTTATTATTGTATCATGTTTTTGATCTTAGTTTGTTTTACAGAATGAAATGTCTGAATGAGTGCTCATCCAAGACTGGTGATTCCATACTTTTTGCCAGGGATTGTATGTCTTTGAAAAATTCTCTATCACATTTCATTTTTGTTGTATCACAAAAAATCAATACATTTTTACCCTTGAGATGAATATAAAAGAAGAGGAATAGGCCTAAGTGGAGAGGACAAGGATTAACTATAATACACCTCAAATGCTACCATACTGTTACTATGTCATATTGTCCACAAAGCTTCATAATTCAGTCCAAGACACAAGCTGACACCTGACCTACCTGCAGCAAGGCCTCTGGGGGCAAATCCATGGAGCTTCGGGTCTCCACGGACTCCATCCTCCTGTGTCGGGGACCTCTCTGTGACTGGGACATTGAGTCTGTCCTGGCTAGGGACAAGTTGTCTTCTTCCATTAGCCCACCCCCACCCTCTCCTCCACCGTCTTCGTCATTGGAGGTTGAGTCGCCCTCCCCGGAAAGGAGCGAACGCCGCTCGCCAGACTGCCGCTTCTGTCGCTTGTAGGACGGCACCCGACCCAAGCTGTTCCAGCTGGACCTGCGGCTGGTCCAGCCACTGCCAGAGCTCCACTGGGGGTGAGGGGAGGAGCGAGCACTGGTCTGCACCACGGTGGTGGTGAGGAGAAGACAAATGCCAGTCAATAGACAAGGTTAATCATAACGAATCAGATTTAATGTCTTGAGCCTGAGCATCTAACACATTCTCACTCCCAACTTGTCACGTATGTCTCACACTTGTCCAAGYTTCCTTCTGTGTCCAGTTTTGACACATCGGGTAACCCCCTCATGTCAGTTATTGATGCAAGGGGCTTTTCCGGGTTCGCACCACATAGGGTCTTTTGGGTGGGGTCCATGGTTAATATTAGGGATCAGGATTACTGGTTAATTGTTAGGTCAGGGATAGGATGACTAGGGATAATAGAAGGTAAGTTTAGGGTTTGGGGCAGTTAGTTGTATATTTTCTACACTTTCAAAAATATAACAATGGGCTCCTCCTCGTTCTTATCTCATCAATAACTGATGCGAGGGGGTTATCTGATGCATCAAAATCAGTTGTTAGAGGGAACATTAGACAAGTGTCAATATGTGACGAGTTGGGAGTGAGAATGGTTTGTAGCATCAGCTTGTCAAATGAAATGTGGTCATTTCCTTTCAGTGCAATAGTTATCAATAATCAATATGATCTCCACACAGCAGAAAGACACAAATAATCAAAATGACTATGTTGGTAATTATTTGCAGTAAAGTTAGTTCTATGACATCCTGCCAAATATCTGCCCTGTGTTTTCTCTTGCAGGTTTAACTAAAAATGCTCGCACTTACTGGTGATTTTTCATTGAAGGCTGGGTCTATGGAGATGTTGCTGCCTTGCCGGGACTCATAGCTCAGGATGGGGTCAACCGCCACAGGCAACTTGGGCACAGGCATAGGGGTGGCAGCAGTGTGGGTAATAAGTGGTGGAGTCAGACTTGTTTTCATCTCCACATAACCATTTACTGGCACTACTAGAAAAATGTTGAAGAAAGGTGGGAGAAAAATCAGTTTTTAAATATCCTTCAAAAAAGTCAATTAAAAACATCAAGTTCACGAAAAGGTGGAGCAAGAGAGTAAAACTATGGAGAGCTATTTGTGTGGGGAAGAATATTATCTTTGGCAGAAACACAAATAAAGGACACAAGGAGTGAAAATGTTAATTTCTTCTTTTTTTTTTTCATTTTAAGCTTAGAATTTCGGAAGAAGTTTTAAGAGTGTGCAGCTAGTCCAACATTATTTATAGTAATTGTGACCCATCATATCAAAATGAGGATTAAGTCAAATTTTGTCAAAATGACCAAATCACTTTTCATATTCCTMGCTTTAAAAGCTACATTTTGACACCGGATCATTCTGATATACGCTGATCCAGAGATATGACCTAATTTGTCTTGTTGGTTACGATGATACATTAACATTTGGTCTGAATCCCAATTTTATATTATTTTATTGAGGATGTTTTGATGTTATAAAGAGGAAACCTCAAATAGTATTTGAATATTGAGATTTCCCAGCTGGGAAGAAATAAATTTTACATTTCAGACAGTTCATTCAAATGACACATTGAGAAGGCATTTTATTTGTTATAGTTTAACAAAATGCAATTTTTGCAAACATATTAATCAAAACACTATATCCATATTTCTCCACATCCCACGTTTACACTTAATTCTTGTTTTGAAGTGATGGGTCTCATTTTGTCATTGTTATTAATGGCATATTTAAACTACAAATGATATATGAACTGTTTAGGCAGTAAGAAGGAAGTCAAGATCACAGAAAACATTAAAGCTGCTGTCATGGGCTTATTAGGATCACCATGGTAACCAACACACATCTATGTTTGTTACCCCATACCAGAAAAKTTCAGAGGCAGACAGAATAAAAGTTAAGCCTCAAACCAACAGGCAATGCGCAAAAACATTTTTTTAATCTTACATTTTTGAATTGTAATAGGTTAACCTTTTTGTGTTTACAGTTATGTAGGACATCTGACAAGTTAAAAATACCCTTCTCTTTCACTTTTAAAGAGGGCATTTGGAGCTAAAACCTAAGTTTGTGGAAGCTTGAATGTGCAATCTCCTTGAGCATTTCAGAAAAAAGCAGGGAGCAGTAAGTGACAGGTGTGAAAGAAGAAGTTTTGATGTATAGTTTGTGGATGCACCAAAAAAGTTGCAGAACTAAGAAAAGTTTGTCTGCAACCCTTTAGAAAATTTTAGATATTTCAAAAGTTAGACTGTCAGGTTCAAATTCTATGGAAAARCCTCCAGATATCATAAACATAAATGGTGATAACGTAAAAGCTGCAACAGCGATCATAACACCAGTTAGGAAATATGATGTCCTACTTTCGGTGACCCATTTAATCTTTAAATTATGTTTCTAGAAGTATACAGTATTTGATCTGTAGAGAACCAAAGTTGGACAGATTTTTTGTTTGTTTCACTAAAATCCCATTGTCCTTTTATGCAAACTTTTTCAAATTTTGCCTACACTGTGCAACCAAGCTTAACATAAAACACTAACTGATAAGTATGATTTATAGGTTTTATGTTAAAGCTTTGTGACAAGACAAACAATTATTTATTTATTTATTTATTTTTATTTTTTTACAAATAAGTAATATTATGCTGCTATGATTGTGCATCACCACCCTTGGATAAGTCTAGCAGCTATGTAAGATGTTTCAAACACAGCATTTAAAGAGGATGAAGAATGCAATYCATTTGGGAGTTACATTTGTTGTAGAAACTTAATATTGACTGACAGCACACCAGTCAGCTCTGAGATGTCCTAATTAGATCTGAAATTGTCTTGTATGATGCATATCTGATCACAGTTCAGTGTTAGATCTTGCTGCCTTCAAAGTGATGTGGCCTTGCAGTTGCGATGAGATTTGAGTTATGTCTTACTGGTAAGCTTTGTTCAAAAATCATTCTGAGGACAGACAAATTTCATTGCTTAGATTTTTCTCATTCCTGGTATAATCTGCTTGACATTCTTTTTGTAATACATTTTTTAAAATTCAACCAGATGGGTTTTCTTGTCTCCCTATCTGTTTGCCATGACAGCATTAAATACAGTAAAGTTTCTAGTTTGCTTTTAAGACCAAGCTCAATAATTTGTGTTGAGCCTGTTGTCCTGGTTTGTTACCACTATGGGAGCAAGCCAGTAATGTAAGCATAATTAAAAGAAGGAAACTGCAAATGTTTGGGGGGGGGGGGGGGGTTGCAATATTTGAACATGCCACACTATTAAGAACTTCAGCTAAAATTAAAGAGTGGTGCAATTATTTAACAAAACACTGTTCCAATTACACACACTGCACACACTTAATAAGTGTTTGCAATAATAAAAAGCACTAACATCCATCATTTGAATTTCCTCATAAATAGAGTATGTGGTGGCTATTTCCATGCCTCACCTGCTGAGGGTGATAAATCCTTCTTGCTGCCGTTAACATCCTCCATACTTCTTGCAACAGAACCAATCTCTGAACCTGTTTTCGAAGCATCACCCTTGACAAGTGAAAGCACAATAAAGTGTTACAAAGAAAAACCTGGGAAAAGATTGTCCTGTGTCACTCTTGCAGCTTCATATACCGTGAATAAATGACCTCCTAGCACCACACTAACATGTAAAAAAGCTTTATGCGCAATTTTTTAATGCACTGTAAACATTTAGTTGTGTATTTTTACATCATTATCAAATGCTTGATAAATGTTATGAAACAATGATGATGAAGCAACAATTTAAACTTGAAAAAGATTGTTTTCCTTATCCTAAATTTATTCTAAAGCTTAACCAGGCAGTTGCGTTACTTGAAAGTAGCTAAGTTATGATTCATAAACCACACGTTCATAAATTGAACAGCATCAGATAACAAAATATAACAGGATTTGAAAAGTGACAAACACTGTTTCAAACTATTTGATTTAAAAAAAAAATTATGTAATTTTTATCAGATTGTATCAAAATAGTGACCATAAGCAAAAGCAAAACTGCACATTTGATAGGATAAGGGGATTTAATTTTCATCAAAAAATTAGTGTACAAATATCTTGCATATTAGCATGATTAGCTAACAGTAAAATTATTTTATGTTTCTAAGTTGTTTCCATTTCAATCATTTAAACTGTAATATAAATACAATTAAATACAATGTGGACATCACATTTTCATGCTTTAGTATAATCAAAAAATGTGTATTAAATCTTTACTTAAGAAACCTGATCTTGATTCAGGAGTTCTGGCCAACTATAGACCRATATCTAATCTCCCATTCATCTCAAAAATTCTTGAGAAAATAGGTGCAAATCAARTATGTGAACATCTGGATAGAAATAATCTGTATGAGGAGTTTCAGTCAGGGTTTAGAGCTCATCATAGCACAGAAACAGCACTGATGAAAGTTACTAAT